AATACATTAAGCAACATTTTCATTTCTATTTTACATTACCTACGTATAAAGTGGATTGTGTTATAACTATTTTCAGTTCTGTGACATATCTGTCGTAAGATGTTACGCTTCTACGTTTATGTAGGTATATAGTCACATTTCAGCCTTTGGCCTGTGACCTTGATGCTTTAGTTCAAATTATAAGGTATGTTCTTTAAAATATATGTTAATTTATACTATCTCAGTAAAGTAAAATTTAATATAGTATAATGCAAGTGGAAAAAGAATAATTATATAGTTTGCTTTTAACACTTTTAAAAAAATATATAGAAAATGACACCAAGGCCTCACGCCAGTAAATCTAATCCGACTACTTATATTAATTTTCATTTTTATTTATATTTATTTAATAAACTAACAAATTTTCTTAATGATAGTAAATATTTATTATTATAAATATTTTTAATGTAATATATTTTTAGTAACATACCAAAATTCCTATTCGTTATTCAATAAAATATTTAGTTAGTAACGCTTTAAATAGATTATATATTTATTTAAAATCGTTTAAACAATTTAATTCATATAATAAAGTATTACTGAGTTAAACAATGCGATTGAGTTTAAAATATTTAAGTTTAGTGTAATTTTGTTTATGTTTTGATATTATGTAGGGTGCTTTATAAATTTTTATAGGTACTTATAAAATTTTAGTTAAAAATGTCTACAGTGTGATTCACGGCCATGGCATGTTAGACGTTTATGGAGAACCGCTGATAGGATTTTTTGAAAATTTGAAGCATTTTTTTTACGAATAATTTGATACCACACACCTGGTATTTCCAGTCAAATTTTCGTAACGAACTGTAAGTTATAATTTCAAATAAACCATATGCGAAAATGTCAAAAGTTGACATATGATATGTCATTCTATTCAGAGCGTTATTTTCTATTGAATAAAGTAAAAAATACCCAAGGTGTCATTTAATAATCAAAAGTTAGAGTTTACGGGCTAAATTTCTAAAATTGTCATGGTAGCGAAATTCTTGAAATGAAACTATAATAATAGAATTATTTATCTTTAAATAGTTCTACTTAAGAAACAGGAAGGTTCAGGTATAGGAATATGATATAAAATTGAAAACAATTTTATTAAGTCATATGATTTTTTAAATAATATACATAGGGTTGAATTTAAAATAATAAAGATGTGAGCAATTTTATAACAAACGGAAATAAATAATATTTTTGCTCTTCCTGTGTAATATCCAATCGGTTTATTTAGACAGATCGAATATATCGACTTTCGTTAACTTATAACCCAAATTTCAAATTTAAAAATGTTTAATTCATGATTTTATCAATGCTTATTGACGATCATGTTTTTGACAATTTTACACGTTTTATTTTTTATCTCAAAAACTATATGTATAGAAAAATCATGAGATATGAAAGTAGTTTCGAAAAATGTAATAACAAACTGAGTGTTCCATTTTAAATAAGAAAACAATACTACCACTTTTCAAATGATGCGCCAACACTGTAATGTTGAAAATATCTTAGAAAGATGGAGTAGGTGCCTTTTCACCGGTTTCCATCACCGGTTTCCATAAACGTCTAACGTGCCATCGCCGTGAATCACCCTATGTATTGAAACATTTAAGGGAGAATAAAAAAACATTATGTTTTGCTCCTATATATAATCTCTATGCGTTAAAATGAAACGCAATGTTTAAAATTATCAATAATTAAATTTCTTCAGTTTTATAATAATTTTTTCAAGGTGGGTATTTTAATTTTCGTTTATGGTAACATTGTATAACTATTATCAATTAACAAGCACAAAGATTTGAACTTATGTTAATATAATAATTGGCAACAAGATAAATAAAATAATATAATGCACTATTCGATTATTCATCATTCGATTATCTGTCACAATTCATAGTAACCATATTCCAGAATATTTTTGGAAATGGATGTGATTTAACTATATAATAAAATCTTCTTGGTGTTTGTGAGTTAATTTGGTTATAGTCTATTAATTCTGGGATATGAGATGTAATGAAATTAAATCAAAATCAACTTCAATTGGTTTTTCAACAAAATACTTACCTCATTATTTATCATTCACAATTTTAAAGGTTAAATACAAATTCGAATCATTGAAATATTGGTCTACGAGGTAAGCTAGGTATCTATATAGCTATGCTAAATCTATAACTATGTTATAGATTAAAAATAATCTATTGCCAGATTATGAGGAATAGTTTTTAAATTTAGTTATTCTGTTTTTTTTTCGCCAAAGTAAACCGTATTAGAAAAAAAAAATGCAGTTTAAATTCTACAGAAAAACTTGATCTTCATGTATAAGAAATGAGAATTACCAAAGTCCAGAAAATAAAATTCCTATTTAATGAATGATATTAACAATAATAATTATATTTTTAATATAATTTTGTTTGTTAAAATACCTTTACATCTTACATAGTTGTACACCATAATACAAAAATAAAAAATCAACAAATATAATAAAATATTCCTGATTTGTTTGTATGGCCTTGCCGTCAAAATAGTATAGCTAAGTTTAAAAACTGAGTATATTATCAATTTCTTTGGTTGTAGATTACTTAAAAGCTCTTTAATATTGCAGCTATATGGCATATAATGTAGTATATTTGAGTAATTCAAATTTGTACTCAAAAATCAAATTAGTATATTTGAGTAAAATAATTTTAAAAGAAGAAAGTTTAATAAAACATTATGTGATAAACAAAATCAATGTCAAACCACTATCATGAGCTACCATTTTGTGAAAATGAACATATCCTATAACTTAAAGTTTAATCATGAGTTAGTTTTATAAATGGATTGCCATTTAACTAATTGTAAGTTAATCGAATTTATTAATCTTTCCTCTTATAAAAAAAATAGTCAAACTAGAGGCAATTCCAACAGAATCACCTATCGATCAACATTATGCAAATAATTTTTCTTTACTTAATTGCACATTTACTAGAGTAAAACTGCAACATCAAAGAACGAGTAGCCTGACTTTACCAAAAGTAGATTGATCATATGATGCTCTATTTAGAGAAGAAATAAAATTACTTCGATTGTGTTAAGCTGTAAAAAATTCTACTAGTAGCTGTTATTGATAGAAAGGTATTTTCGTTATATACCTAGTGTTTGTATCTTATTTTCTCCCAGTTTTTTTCTCAAAAAATATAGAATTTTGAGTCAAGTTATAATGCGTATTACCAAAAATAGCATAGGTACGCTGTCAAATGTCACAGTAATTGATATAAATAATATAAAATTGATAAATAAAATAGTATACTATATTCGATATCAATTAAATTTTTAGTTACGTCATCGAGGGCGTGATTTCTAAATTCATTGTTGCCAACCATGGCAACATATTCGTCATCGTTCTAATTAACTGGAATTTTAATTTTTCGCTGGGGATTCATGTGGTACCTCTGCTTTAAAAAATGTTGCGATTATTGGCATTTATTTTATTTATTTTCTGACACTGTCATTCGTTTTGACACAAACATTAGTTTTGTATTACGAGCTTTTTATTTAAACGAATCGTGTTCTGATATTTTAAGCTTAAACATTTTTACTGGCAGACCTCGCAGTCGAACATTGTTCTTTTTAGAACCTCTTTTAGTGCCAAGCGTACAAGATAGCTTAATTGTTGTAAAAAACTCATCACAACTTTATTAGAATATTTTTAAGGGGAAAGCGGTTGTAATGGCCCTTTATGTTCGTTAAGTGCTGTTAAGGAGGTGATTTTTGTTAATATAATTATAATTAATTTATTTTTGTTTTCTAAAATATTTTGATTTAAAGAAAATATGTAAAAGTGGGTAACGCTATGCCGGTCAAGCTTAATCGCGTGACTAAAAGTTTATTTGATATGTTATGATCAACTACAGTCTAAGAAAAAGGTAAGGTAAGGTCAATTTAGTCGGGTTGTTGGAAAGTCTGGTCGTGTGTAGGCTTGTTATCTATAGGTTTGAGCTGAGTGAGCAAGCCACACAACGGTGTCTTCCAAATTTACAATTATAATAATAGTTAACGATAATGCTCTAAAAAATCATAAGACCGTTCTTTTTATTTTTTGAGAAAATAGCAATGTTGTGTACGTATAGGCAGCAAAATTCAATGGATGATTATACAGTCTGTTGCATCGCCGACGTGAAAATAAGAAATTCAATGTAAAATTTAAAAATGATAGATGCCACACAAAGATGCCACCTGCAAATTCAATTTTTTAACGTCAAATTGACGTTGCAAAAATGATTAAAAAAGTCATTTTTAATGTTATATTGATTTTATGTGCAAATTAATTTGCAAATAGCAATTAATTTGCAAATATGATTTATACAACTGAAGAGGCTGTAAAGTTTTGTTTTTCTGTGCATATTTTCCTAATCGACCACAACAGTTATTAAAGACTATAAAGCTTCATTCGAAATTAGAACTTGGAAATTAGTGGTTTCAATTAGCTTAGAAGTTTGTTCCTCTAATATCAATGTTAGCATTCATAACGTCAAAATTAGTGGTAATAGTTAACAAACTTTTATCTTTTCCACTAATTATACTTCAAAATTTGTCCTTTTGGCATTTGATTATCATCCGTGAGAAATCGAGAGAAAAAAGAGAAATTGTGGTTAGAAATCAAAAGTTTATTGTTTTATAAGCTAAATATAAGGCTATTTATAAAAGCTACTATATTATTATAATATTCTCTACAGATACAACTAACTACCGCAAGTTGTTGCTAGGATATTCAATTAATTTTAATTATGTGTTTTAGACATTGTGAATGATCGTAAACTGAAGCTTCATTCAGAACCTCGCAATTAGTGGAATAAATTAGTGGTTTCAATTACACTTTATACTTTTTAGTTTGAGTATAATTAGTCGAAATGTTAAAAGTTTGATAATTTTTTTTACTAACTGAAAATGTCTACCACAAATTTTGACGTTGCGAATGCTTACATTGAAATTAAAGGAACACACTTCAACGCTAATTGAAACCACTAATTTATTGCACTAATTGCGAGGTTCTGAATGAACTGAATGGTGTAAAAGGAACAATCCCAACAAGAACAGGTATTAAATACTGTAAATATAAAAAATAATATGGATCATCATGAAATAATATATGGAAATGAATTAAATATTTAAAATATTCATCGGATTTTTTAAAATATACATGGGATTTTTTATGCTTAGGTCGACGATTCAACATAGCATAGAAAATACTACAGAATATTAATTCTATGAAACACAGGGTAGATAGATGTATTGTAATATTCGGTAGTGGAGTATTGGAAGTTCGACGTGTATTGGCCGCATAACAAATACATAAGTCTATATCAATAACTGTGATACTTGATAGTCTAAAAACTTGATTATTTCTTTTTCAAAAAATTTTCTAGTTCAAAAAGAAGGTCTCTTAAATATAGGAGAAAATAAAACGCCACAACACTGCAGACTGCCATTGGCAAATTGAAGTAACTCGAAATGTTCTAAATTGAATTCAATTCTTGCATCTAGCGTATAAAATAAGCTTTGGTATAATAGTTTTGGTATGTTACCCCCAAAGGGATGTACTAATTTATATAGGTCGCTATTGTTGTGCATAGGCATTATGCACTTCCAGTCCGCCGCTCGACGTTTCCACTAGGGATTTGCGGGACGCGCTCAGGGAGCACTGATCGGGCCGATTCTTCCTCGGAAGGGTCGTCGAAGTTTGTTCGAAGTTATTTTCTCTTGGTTTCCATATGGGAGATCCTGAAATTTGATATTTCATTAAAGTATCTACTAATTAAAGATCTACATATATTTATATTAAAAAATTAGTGGAGTCGAACGATATCAATTTAAAATAGTGTATAAAAAATAATAATGAAATTATATAAGAATTCTTGCCACTTAACTGCTGATATAAAAATTTAATTCCACGCTGTGTTTGTCATAGTGTGGATCAACCTGCTCTCACTACCGGTTTCGGAGCTCTACTCCATTATCAGGTGAGCTTGGGGAGATCCACAAGATGACAACCACAGCGCAGAGTAGTTAATTCCGACTTGTCGGAAAGTATCGGTTAGATATTAGACAGTTAAAGCAAGGCCCAATACGTATACGTATCTCTCGACACGTAACGCAGAAACCTACGTTACGTCTGCCGTTGCGTTGTCGTGTAAACAAGAGTTAAAGCAAGTATTTTGACATACGTAACGCAAATGGTACATTTGTAATTCTAAATTATTTTGTGAAACAATTTATTTAATTTTAAAACTTAAAATGGATGTCTATTATTTCATTGATTCCACATTAAATTTATAAAAGTTGGAAAAATGAAGAAAATTATAAATGGAAATTATTTTATTACAGAAAGTAGTCCTTACAACTTAAAAAAATGCTCTTAGTAATAAAAAACAGACACAGTTTTATGATTATTTATTAGATTCCATCTTTTAGAATCCTCATATGGATTTTGGCTAAGAACTAGCATTTAATTAAATAGATCCCAAAATGAGTTTATTATGATGCTTAATATTTTCATACTAATTTATTGTAATAAAATAGGCCCAGTTTTGTTACACTGGCCCCAAAATTTATTAAATATCTTAATTACTAGCCAGTTGTGGAAACGAGTTGTTTGTGAATTTGTACGTTCGGCATCATTCGGATGAAAATCGAAACTCCTTCGGCTCGATACGTTTGCGTTTTGTACGTACGTTAAGGCACGTAAAGATACGTATCACGTATCCGTAAACGCAAGTGAATTTCTCACTGCGCAAGCGTACATGTCAAACGATACGTTTACGTCTACGTCTTTGGCCGTGCTTTAACTGTCTATTAAGTTCCGAACGGGAATAGCGGCCTGCGTGCAATGGTAGTACTTTCGTACCACCGAGGCGCAACTATCAATAGTAAAAGGATGGTAAAAGGCATTTTTTCAGGCAAGCCAAATTATAAAATGGAAAACAAATTTCTTGCAGTATAAGTATATAATAAAATTATATAAGAATACTTGCCACTTAACTGCTGATATAGAAATTTAATTCCACGCTGTGTTTGTCATAATGTGGATCAACCTGCTTTCACTACCGGTTTCGGAGCCCTACTCCATCATCAGGTGAGCTTGAGCAGATCCACAAAATGACAATAACAAAATGGAAAGTATCGGTTAGACTCTGCGCTGTGGTTGTCATTTTGTAGATCTGCCCAAGCTCACCTGATGATGGAGTAGGGCTTCGAAACCGGTAGTGAGAGCAGGTTGATCCACATTATGACAAACACAGCGTGGAATTAAATTTCTATATCAGCAGTTAAGTGGCAAGAATTCTTATATAATTTTATTATATACCTATACTGCAAGAAATTTGATTTCCATTCTAAAAAATAATAATGTATAAAGGGAGGTTCATATACACGCCAATTGAGAATATTGTTGTTATTGGTCGATTTAAAAAAAATACAGTATTATTGTTAATAAAGTATTAAATTATTCTGGTGGTTCAAAATACATATATTTACTATCAGAATATAAACGAAAATAAAATAAAAAAGTTTTATACCATGAGCCGGTCTCGAACTCGGACTCCTCGCTTCATAGGCGGAATCTCTACGCGCCGCGCTCTGGAGACTTGCTCGATTTATTTCAATACTAGAATTTAACGGACTAAATAAAAAATAGGATCTTCTTCCGATGCGCAGCAGTGAACGCCACGTATATCGGCAGCCCGACGGCCCACATGCTGTTCCAATCCGATATATCAAAGAGCCAGCTTTCTTAAAATATTTTCTCGAAAGCGTTGCTAGCTCTTAGACTAAAATGTTATGGATCGCGTACGTTGTACGCGATCTGGCGCTGCTATAGCGGTTGCTAAAAAACAGCCTTTTTATTAAGACAGAATTTTTTTTTGTCAAAGTCAGAATCATCAAAAATTCGAAAATCTTCTAAAATTTAAACGCCCTCATTGAAAAAATACTGAAATCTGTTTTAAAGCGTTGATTTTCAAAGTAATAATTTTGCTATCTTGTGAGTTTCTTGTAAATTTAATTTACGCCAACCCGTGATAATTGTGGAAAAGTGGTATTAAAAAAACTTAAACAGCTGTGTGATGCTGTGTGAACTGTAAACAGCAGAAACCATCGTTGCATAAGATCGGTTTCCAAAAAATAATTCTGGGTCACATCATTCACGGACATGTTCGCTGGTATACTCGTTAATATTTGATTTAGATCAATTTAGATTGATCGTTCGCAGAAGTATAATCGGCACGATTTTACTGCTGCAGTTAAAAGTTTCGACCTGCGATCCAATACAATTCAACTCGGTCGGTTGTACACACACACGATACAATATTGTCAATTGTCGTCCGATTTTGTCGTATCCAACATAATCGTACTGCGGCGTAGTATCGTGAGTGGCCCGCTTAATTCACAACCAGGTTTGAGACCAGTTGGAAACAGACGGTACGTAGAAACATATTGACAACCGGTTGGATATTGCTGTGAGAGAAAAGAATAGTTCTTAATAGTCTTGTTATTTACAAAAAATAATAATTATGAAAATAACAACTCTGATAACGATGCGCTGATGGCGACAGATCACGAGTACAATAACATAACTCTGTATAAAGCGTAAAGGCGCATTCTCGCGATTCGTCTACTTGGCAAGTATCCCCACCAGTCCAATATTGACAAGTGCGGCGCTCACACGACGCACACTGATCAAAAATCGCCAATTCGTGATCAAAATTAAGATCTTCTTAACGAAGCAATATAGGTAGGCCAAATGTCAAATACATTATGTTTAGAAATATATAATATAATGCAGATATCTGTAATGCAATTTTTTGTAAAAACCAACCCCAAGCGAGGGGTGAAACTCTAAGGGAGCGTTATTGTAAATTCACGGCCGAATACCATACCATTAATACCATCCATATTAAGACAGACTTATAAAAAGGAGATTTTCATTAGCGTAGAATTTACTAATTTTACGAAAAAAATTGTTCATGGCGAGTAGAAAGGTGTGATATAATGAACACAAAAATGTAAAGTAAATGGACTTTCCAAATTGGAAGAAAAAGAAAAGAAATATATCTATAGAATAGATTTATGTATTTAGTAAAAGTAATCCCCAAACAGAAATTAGTAAAACGACACGCAACGATTATGATGAAAAAAAATGTTTACAGAGAAACATGGTATATTATAAATAATTTTATGGTATTTGTAATTAGTTAGTCACTTTCGCTGACTGAAAATTCCTCGTTGACGAGCTGTTCCTTTTCCTCGTTATCTTGTTCTTCAATTCAATAACCAATAAATCTCTAAGTTCATTTTCTACTTTGGTTTTCTTGTAGTTCTTGGTAGAATATGAACTTGTGTATAGATCAGAACTTAGCAGTAAACGGTGAAAAAGATCCTCGTTTACTTTAAGCGCATTAAACTTCCATGAAACTTTCTCTGTACCTTCTTATATCCTTGTTTTTTTATTCTTGGGCCTCTTCGGACAATTCTCCGATAGGAACCATTCTTCACAAAGATTGATCCATGAATGAGAATTTTGTGGACTGTTGGGGGCAAGTATAGTTATTGATGCATATCAACGCGATTGTGTTAACGCGCAGGAACAAAGAATCACGACTGTCTTACACAAGGGGCAGACAGTGGCAGCTGCACTAACAATTATGATGTTCATAATATTCCAAATAATATTGTAATGTAAATTTTAGCATGTCCATCTTGTGTTTCACTAAATATATTCTACGATTTACTCATACATTTTACGTAGATGGCATGTTATTAATTAATTAATAAATTACACAATTACTAAGCAGTATTTTGATAATTATAAGTATTCAAAATAAAGAAGAAAGACAACTCTTTCATATCATATATATTAGAGACGACACTAAAACTCACGATACCCTAGACAAGGAAAGAGAGTCTCTCTTTCCTTCTCCAAGGACAAAATACTCGGAAGCTGAACCGCGCAACCGCGGTCTACGTCAAACTCAGCTGAACTTTACCGCTGATGGACTTTGTAAACAACGGCATTTTTATAAATATCATAGTAAATATGGCCCTATTTAAAAACAAAGTTAAAAACATTACAGCATTCCTGTATTTTTAAATAATACCAAAAATACTAAAAGCACTTTAAAGAAGATTTACAATTTGTGAATTCATTGAACATTGATTCATAGAACTTTGATAACTAATATTACAGACTGGATTATTTTTAATTTGTGTTGTTTCACTTAATTTTGTGAAAAACACTATAATAAGAAGAAACGTATTATTTGCCCACTGTGTAATAAATCTGGTAGTCTGTATAGTTTGTCGAAGTTGCAGTGTATTGCAACAACTATGAAGTAAAATTGGAAATGGAAACGCATTACTTTGCCTATGACTTTACCACAAAAGAAAGTTATAAACCGTGGTACGAAAAACAGAAGATCAAGATAAATTATGCATTCGCCAAGTCAAGAAAATATAACGACTATATGGAAAAAAACTTACAATTATTATTGTAATCATAGTAAATCAGTCAGTCAAAAGAAACACTATGTCAAATAGTCTCTTTATTTTTAGGACACATTACACATTTGTTCTAAACAATTCTTCTAAATGAACAGAGAAGGCCAGTAGTTCAATAAAAAGATCATAATAAATGAGTCATAAAAGGAAAATGGATAAGCAAGAGTTATTCCCAACAAAGTGAAAGAGGTTATTGGTTTAAGGCTTTATTTATTTTGTTTTTGGTCTTACTTAAGTAAATATGTATTGACTGTTGGTTAAGGGTTTTATATTTATTTTATACTACTTACTACCTGTACAATCTGGTAATGTTTATTGTTAAAATTATTGTATTGTATTGTTGCAATTTTTGTATTTTCTTGACCTAGAACACCCATAAGTTTCTTGCAGTTTCTTCTTATAGGCCGTAATCGAAACTGCAACATATTCTAATAAAATTAGAACTATAAATTTGTTTTTTATTTCTAATATGTTACAGTAATTAAGCTTAACAAATTTTCCCAAAACGTTTATTTCCCCATGAAAATGTGATTCAATTTAAGAACTGATATTTTAATAAAAGATTTCAACTTGATTCGGAACATAATATTTCTCTGCCCTGTACTGTATTACAAATTTTTCTAACCAATCTTCATTCATATGTAGGATATAATGATAATTGATAATAACTAGAATAGAATTCGAGAATATTGAGCTCCCTTCAAGTAAAGCTATGGTTCTCACTTATGCATCAAATTAGATAGTGATCATGCAATCTGTAAATGAAACAATTTTTAATTTACACCAATCATCAATGCAACTTTGACTAAAATCACTTGATGTAGGCAATATAGGTATATTACCTCTGATATTACCAAATATCAGCCAAATACATTCACCACCTTCCTTCCAAATAATGACAAATTACATTTCGTAACTTTAACTTTAATGATATTTGTATGTTTTAAAAATATATGAATGCAGATCAGTTTTTAAATAATAGCCATATTTCTAAAAATAGACTAGAAACTATAAAAAACAAAATGAACAACCAAAACAGTCAACTGTACTACTGTTAGCAATTTCGCATAATAAAATTATTATTGTTCCGATTCTCGATTATTCATAATGTTCAAAATTCCCGCAAAGCGCTTCTCGCCGAACAAAACCGAACTCTCCGTGTAGGATCCGAATGCTTCCGAGGTTTTCGTGAGTTTTAGTGTCGTCTTATATATTAGGATGTGATTACTTACGCTACTTAAGTATGAAAATTCTAAGAAAATGACATTGTTTTATTTATATCGTGCAATTCAAAGAAAATTATTGATTTTGGTCAACTTCGGATATGCAGAAATATTTTTTGGGAATAAATGTCAAATAGGTAACTTGTTCAGAACTCGAGTAACACATATAAAATTACAATACTTTAATTTGAATTTCGTATGAAGAAATTCAATTCTTGAATTTCGATCACGGATTTGCGATTTTTGATCAGTGTGGCGACGTGTCCATTTCAACAAGTACGCCAGCACAAACATTGTTTAAATCCTAGGCAAGTCAACAGTATAGTCGCATCGATGGATAACGGTCGTCCCGAAATTGTCGTTGCTAGTGATTCTTTTTTCTTTTTAAGTTTTTTTACTGTACACTGCAATACGATTTCTATGTTCTTTATGTTTAGCCATCCATATGAATCCATATGGGTTCATTTTCGTATAAATCCATAAATTCCAAAACATCATTTGAAGACTACACGGGAAAACCCAGTTTTGTCCATTTTAATTGGAGCCGAGAAAAATGCAATTTAGTGTTTTTAAAGAAATATGTAATTTTCCGTTGAATAATTAGAAAAATATATATTACTAGCAATTCTGTATTATTAATATTGTGAATTATCGCTGAATTATTATATTCTGAAATACAGAAATAAACATGTCACATTGCAAAACAAAACAGGGAAAAACCAGGGATGTCCAATTAAAGGTTGTATAAAACCTATATCTAAACTATTATTTTTTGTAGGAAGAAAATTAATATTTAAGTAGGTTTTTATTACAATACATAAATTTATAACATACAATACTAATAGCTTGCATGTTTGTCGCCCATGCGTAAGTACATCTCTGGTTTTTACCATTTATACGTGGACTACTCTGGTTTCTCCTTTGTACGGCAAAATAACCAAGCTGTAATATCTCTGTGACTAAGCGTATTATTGCTTTCTTTTTTCTAGAATGGCGTTAACATTTGTCTATAAAGTTGTATCGCTATCTTAATTTTTATGAAAATGTGACATATCTGGTTTTTCCCGTGTAGTCTTCACTTGTCCACTCCATTTATTGCTGGGAGAACGATTTAAGTATGTCGCCAATATTGAAGTTATTAATGTAAATTTTATATTATATAATCTATTATTCTTTTAACGTTTTAAATTATCCGCAATTAACTCGAAAAACACTACGAACCGGAAATAAACGGGACGTACTTTATAATAGTGCAATTATTTGCGCAGTCGCTTTTTTGCGCCTTGGCAAGTATAAACAAGACTGGCTAAGTACACTTGGCAAGTGTACGAATAATTATTGTGAACCTTTGACTCGGGCTATATTTACCCACAGTGAGTGGGGACGTGACGAGTGACCAAGGAAACCGTTCTCATGACATGGCAAGTATATACCAATAACAAATGTTTATCAAGTACACGAGTCGTGAGAATGTGCCTGTAGACGATCTTTTACGTGACGTGCAGGTAAATATACTCACGGTGGTTTGTCATTGCTTTGCGAGACATAAGCAGCTAAATATATATTTATGATTACATAAATATAGTGACCGTACCGGCTGGTATTTTAATATGGTAATCTTGGGTCAGCGCTTAAATACACTTGCCGCCGAGCCACGGCTGGCCATATATGCAAGCTTTACTAACTTAAATAAAACATTCATAACAGTAAATTTTTAATAAACAGAGGTAAACAGGCTTAATAATAATTGAATCTTACCCAGCTCTTCCATTTGTATGGGGTGAAAGGTTTCGGGAGGGTGAGACGACTGAATTAGACGTGCCTGACTTCCTGTGCTTCCTGCCGAAAGAGTTGATGTAGTGCTAAATCAGACACAAAAATAAATTTAACCCTAGCGCAGTTAACGCACAAACAAAGCAGTAATAATACGAGCTATTCAATGAGAAAACAATAATCGGAAGAATTCTAATAGTAATATAGCAGAGCATAATATTATAGCATAAATGAATGTGGCTATCATTGAAGAGAGATTACTAAAGAAGACCAAGAGTGTGTAAAATCTATCGAGACGTATTGGTCTCTCATGCCAATTAGATACCGGATGAGATCGGATATCTCGTGAGTAAGAGTCTAAATATGGCTGTGGACAGCGTTTCGGATACCGCGTGAACAAAGTAGAGCTATCTAGGTTATAGTAGTAATATTATATATTAGCAGCAAAAATGAGACGTTAGCTAAATTTTAAGGTAGAAGTTGGGTTGGGGCGACGACGCGACGGTCCAGCTTCCTAAAAAGTTTAATAAGTGAGTACTTTAAAGCTTCATTCAGAATCTCGCAATTAGTGGAATAAATTAATGGTTTTAATTACACTTAATACTTTTTAGTTTACGATCATTCACAATGTCTAAAAAACACAATTAAAATTAATAAAATACCCTAACAACAGCTTGCAGTAATTAGTTGTATCCATAGAGAAAGCCTAATATTTAGCTTATAAAACAATAAACTTTTTGGTTTTTAACCACATTTTCTCTTGACGGATGATAATCAAAGGCCAAAATGACATTCTTCGCAAATTTTGAAGTATAATTAGTGGAAAAGTTTGTTAACTTTTTCCACTAATTCAAAATTCCTACCACTAATCTTGACGCTCTGAATGCTTACGTTAAAATTAGAGGAATAAACTTCTACGCTAATTGAAAACACTAATTTATTCTACTAATTGCGAGGTTCTAAATGAAGCTTAAATTAGTGTCTCCTTTTGCAGCTAAGGCTAATCAGGACGGGGCCTACTTTGTTGGCGCAGAATCCAAACCACAATCCTCAACTGCATCATTGTCTAAACTAAGTGTATCTAAACTTCAGAGTGTCTAAATCAACTCACTCAAATTACTCACGACATATCCGATGTAATCGGTCCTCGAACCGACGTGATTTAATAGATTTTATACTCTTGCCCTGGACCGATAACTCGACCGAATGCCCAGACGTTCACCCGTCCATACACTCGCATCGTTTAACGTCGCTTAACTTGGGATGATCTATCGGAAACCAGTGTTTTGGTGTAGTTGGGCAGTTATCCCCTTAAAAAGTTTATAGTTGAATCAAAGTCTTTTTGCCGCTAGTTCTAAGTTAGACGGGACCTACTTTGTTTACACGAAATTCGAACCGCAGTGTGTGAAGGAATGTCAATGCAGAGATAATCGAGGAGATTTGAAATTTGATACCTTTATGACAACATTACCTTGGAAATATAGATAAGAATCCCTAAAGCAAATGTCCAGTTTGAAAAAGTAATTCTGGCATAATTCTTAAACAGGTGGGTATTGAAGAAAATAAATTATTCAGTTGCCTTGGATGAAAAGTGCGTCTCTTCTAAAGGAAATTAAACTTTATAGGAACTATAACTTTTTATGAACAAAAATCTTCCTCTGACCTCACTAGTAATAGTAACCATCTAAAGTAACGAATCCTTAATTATCTAAAGAACTAAAGGAAGCCTTACTGGAAAAAGACAATAGTCCAATTAAATATTTTTAAAACTATCGGCAATTGACAGGTTTTTCTTCAGACTAAAAGCCACAAAATGCATTTAACCTGCTTATTAGGAACTAACCACTTATATAAAGGGTATTCCAATAAGCGGTTTCGGATGTTGATAACGAATAAAATAAAAGTTTCATAACATACCTACCTAAAAGTTATTTATGACAGTGTACAATTAAACGTACAACATCTGCCAAATGGCCACCGCGGCTTGTCTGGCAGCACACAATTTTTTTGTTGACATTTAACTGCTGAACATATTTCTGGAATTATGTCGCGAATTATTCGCCTAATATCTTCTTTCAATTGTTGAATGGATTGTGAATTATTTTCGTAAGCTTTGCTTTTCACATAGCTCCACAAAAAATAATCTAGCGGCGTCAAGTCGCATGACCTAGGTGGTCAATTTACGTACCCATTCCTGGAGATAAGCCTCTCTCCAAACTGTGTACGAAATAAATTCAATGTTTTACCTGCTGTATGACATGTCGCACCATCTTGTTGGAACCATATATTCTCTATATGTTCGTTTTCTTGATACTGGACTTGACGTCGCGCCGCGCCGCTGGATTATTTTTTGTGGGGTTATGTGAAAAGCAAAGCTTACGAAAACAATCCGTAAACGCATTCAACAATTGAAAGAAGAAATTAGGCGAATAATTCGTGACATAACTCCAGAAATGTATTCAGCAGTAGGCAATGGAAAATTCTACCTACAAAGAATTGTGTTCTGCCAGAGAAGTCCTGGTGGCCATTTTCCAGATATTGTCTTTCATGTATAATTGTACACTGTTTAGCTACGTTCTGCCATAAATAACTTTTATGTATGTTATGAAACTTTTATTTTATTCGTTATCAACATCCGAAACTTTTTATTGGAATATCCTTTATTATCTAAAGAATGAACAATACATAATATATAACAATTTTGCAGACTAAAGCTTCATTCAGAAAATCCAAATTAATTAGTAGTGAAATAAATGAGTGGCTTTAATTAGAGTAGAAATTTGTGCCTCTAATTTCAATTTCGGCATTCAGAACGTCAAAATTAGTGGCAGCAATTTTTAGTTAGTAGAAAAAGTTAACAAACGTTTAACTTGTTCTACTTATTACACTTCAAAATTTGCCAGTAATAAATGTCATTTGACTTTTGATTATCATCGACCAAGAGACATTGTAGTTAGAAATAAAAAGTTTACTGTTTTCTAAGCTTAGTTTCTAAGCTTATATAACGTCTTCTATGGATAATTTTCATTGTATTTTTAGACATTATAAATGGTCGTAAACCCTCAAGTATAAAATATAATTGAAACCACTAATTTATTCCTCTAATTTAGAGGTTCAGAATGAAGCTGAACAGAGAAATTAAACTTTCAAAAAGGTAAAGTAGTTCGTTAAATAAGTAGCTTTATTAAGAGATTACTATCGCTGGGCGTCTTTCAGGTCAATTTGATGATAGCCCCTAGCCTAAGCAACTAAATGCTAATCCTATAATATGCTAATATGCGCCTAGTAGTTATTAAGACTAAAGCGGTCATGATTTCTATTAAAAAGCAATTAACCTGTAAAATATAAATTTACTCTTACCTTAAAGTAAGATGATTTGGTGTTCTACCTAAAGTAGCTTTAGCTTTAATACTGCCCGTTTGTGAATCTTCTTCACCTTCTGATTTGGCTCCGGACTCAGTTTTTTCATGATTTACCATTTTTTGTTTTGGAGCATCTGCAATTCAATGTAATTTACTAATTAATATTATTACTCCAAATGCAGATGAAGAACTTTTGTCTAACACTGGTTTGTGCTATCCAAGTCGACACTTCTTACACAAATCATTTTGCAAATATGACATGATTGGTCATATTTATTTATTTCTAAACATGGAGAATAACAGAAAAGGTTTACATTATTTGTGCACAATCGATTTGCAAATTCATTAAAGTCGGGATGAGAATTTGGGACTGGTCTCAGATATAATATTAATACAATACTTTCAAGTATACGATTAGTTACCGTCATAGTTACCGCGATATAATAGTTACCGATATAATTCAGAAAGTGGCTAAGATGAAGTGACAATAAGCTGGACATGTTGCTAGGCTGAATATAGACAGATGGACGCATAGAATAAAAGTTTGGATGCCAAGACAAACTAAAAGAAGTTTAGGACGTCTATAGATACGTTGAGTGGAGGACATTAGGGAAGGTGGTTAAATACAGCACAAAACTGGGAGACGTGGAAAAGGATAGGAGAGACCTATAATATCCAGGAGTGGATGAATACAGGTTGAGGAAAAAGAAGAAGAATACTGACAGTAAAACATTACTGTCAGTTTTACTCTTTTTGATGATGTTTTTTACAGGAAAAGAAACAACAAAAATAGTAAAACAGCCAGTAAAATCAGCCAAAGGCTACTGTCTGTCTCAAGTGTCCCCATACCTACTCTGGAATTCATCAGGAATGACAAGCTCTTGCTCTGTAATGATTGGATGATGGGAAACCACTATATTGAAAATTTAATATGATGGAGCATTTCTTGAGCTGGTTGGTAATCTAATAAAAGGCTGTCTTGATTATGATGAGAAATTAGTGGTGATACTGTCACGAATACTGATGAGAATTAGTGGTGATCTATTCTATCTGTCAGGTAGGGCTGCATGGTAAAGCTTAACATAGTTGTAACTTGATATTTATGATCACCAAACCAAACCCACATATCGTATGTTAACTTCGAAAAATTAATGTCAATGTCAATCGAAGATGATATTTTATTTTATTTCATTTCATAATGTATCATTGTTTACTACTTTCGAACAAATATAAATAGTTCTTATGTACAATACACCAGAATATGTACGATTTTGAGTAATTAAAATGTACCTGCTGAATCACCAACTGTTTTACTTCTGTTTCTAAAACTCCCCGAAGATTCGTCAGTTTCCTGATTCATATTGTCATAATCGATATTTCCAGCAGAGTGTCTCTGGGATTTGTGTGTTTTTCTTGTTTTTCCAAGCGTATGGGACCCTTGAATCACTACGTGCTGTTTTGGTCTTTCAAGCGTTTGACTAAAAAGGTAATCGTTAAATCATATAGATAACAAATAAATGTTACTTACCTGTTCATATGGTCTGTTTTGTGTCCTGTAACTAACAATATGCCAGGACCTGTACCTGGTTTAGTTGATGGTATCGACATATTTCTAACAGATTCCCTGATTATTTGTCGTATTGTTTTTAAGAAGGCATTACGAAATTCGCCGGTACTGAAACAAATAATATGTTAAAGTAGGCTTTTAATAACCTAAAACTAAGTATGGATAATGAAAAAAAAAGAATTATAAATTATTATAAATATTCATTCTTAGAGGGTAAAATAGAAAACGAAATGTTTTTTCTAATTAAAAAGTAATTGTAGGAAATCCCCCTACTTAGGGAATACATACTAGGGTCGGCATTTCTGGTCTTGGGGGCCGCTTTTCGTGTGTGTGAAGAGTACGGTCAATGCGCTCACTAAAATAAGATATACTGAATAAAGAAACAAGGGAAAGTATTTTCCCAAGGGCATGGAATCTAGCATTGGATAAGTGTTTATGTAATAAATATTTCGCATTGTTGCTCTCTCCGACTTACTAGATCACCACAGCGATTCACTCCTATACATGTAAATGCCGATCCAAGGTTTTGCTTGCCAGTAGGGTATAGTGGAAATAAAAGTTTTTGTAAAAATGCGTTAGTATCTAGTCTAGAAGTATGCATTTTGCACAAGTAACAAGAACAAAATAATTTTCTTAAAGGGAAAAATAAGATATGAAAAGTTATATGGAAAATTTGTTAGATCTGGGAAAAGAAAGATGAAATAATAAATTTTTATTTTCTGAGCACCTATCCAAAATGTTTATCTTCCTAAGGGGTAAAATAGGAGATGAAGAAGTAGGTATATAAAAATTCGTTACATCTCAGTCTAGTAACATAAAATCTTAACTTCAGTCTAGTAACATAAAATCTTAAGTATTTAGAAGTTTTAGTTTTACGCAAATGCGAGTTTTTACCTATATGACTAAAATTAAAATGCAAACATACCTATTTGACAAAACATAAATTTTCTCAGATCGCCTTTGCAATTGACTTCTTAAGTGAATCAACTCCCACAAGAAATGAGAGTCCATATCCTTGGCCGAGGAAGCTCTAACTTGTACTTCTGTCACCGGAATAAGTACTTGATATCTGATAATTTCTACTTCTGAAGACGGTCCTTTATTAGCCACCCCCTGGAATTACGTTCAATATTATAGGTACTTTGAAGTGCATTCAATATAGTACAATATTATTGTTAATTGCTATTTTTAAAGATTTAAAATAAGTTTATAAGTATTTTAGTAACATGAATAATTAATAATGAAAAGTAGAAAAAATTGTTTTTATCTGGACAAAAAAATGCAGAAACATATAAATTAAAATATAATTTTAATACCATTAATTTCTTCTTTTGGCGAAGCCTTTCTTTACATAGGAAGACAACAGCTGTTTTGAATACAAAACACATCGCATGTAGTTCTAAACCTTTCTTGATTTTTCCCAGAAAGTCCGAAATATTTAGCCATTCCACGCCGCCATAATAAAGTAGGTCGCCAGGGCTGAGGTCTATAGACTAAAAAAATAGATGTATTATAGTAAGTTTATCAAATTCTGTTTTAAAATTCACAATTTTTCGAAATTTAAAAGTAGTATATATGTTACCGTTAAAATGGATACTTGGCTAGTTACCAACAAACACAACCACCACCGCAAACTAACATCTAACCCACAAAATAACAGCGTTTTTTGTAAAATAGCTGGCTAGTTTGAGAACTAGCCAAGTATCCATTTTACAACAGCTTAAAAACAACAAATTAGCTGGCTGTGACGCGATTCCGGCGAAAATCTATAATTGTGCAAGTAAAGAACTTATTGCTCATCTTAAGGCTCTCTTCGATGTCATATGGGAAAGCGGAGGGGTACCTCAGGACTTTCGAAACGCGAATATAGTGAATATATTTAAGAACAAAGGAAGTGCATCAGACTGCGGAAATTACCAGGGCATTTCACTATTGGCTATCGGAGGAAAAATTGTTGCAAAAATGATGTCAAAACGCCTGCACCCATATATAGAAAAAATTCTTCCAGAATCGCAAACGGGTTTTCGTACCAACTGCGGCACCGTCGATTCCATATTTTCCATCCGCTAACTACAGGAAAAAGTAAAAGAGCAGCAGTATAAACTTTATGTTGCATTTATCGATCTAACAAAAGCCTTCGACTCTGTGAACAGAGATGCGCTTTGGGAGCACCCAAAAAAGTTTTTACAGTGTGTAAAAGCCTCCATAACAACAGCAAGTCAAGAATGTCACATCATGGATCACTGAGCGATCCCTCAGTTTGATTTCGGATAAGGTCAATATTGACTCTGAAATTCAGCACAGGATCAGCAGCGCCTCAAGAGCATTCTGGAAATTAAAAGACAGGGTTTTCTACAATCATGACTTGAGTACAAAAACGAAACTTGCAGTGTACCCAATTATAATCCACCATGTTATATGGGAGCGAAATCTGGGTGCCGTACCGCCGACTAGTGAACGCATTAAACAAGTTGCAGCAGAAACACCTTAGACAACTCTTAAGAATCCGATAGTTCCATCATGTCTCAAACGTATCGGTCCTTGATAAAGCTGACTGCGAGAGTATTGGAGTCATGGTTACAAAATCCCGCTTAAGATGGGCTGGTCACGTATGCAGAATGCAAGAAAAACGCATACCAAAGTCTCTGCTTTACGGTGAGATTGCAGACGGTAAGAGGAGGTCGGGTGGACAACTGAAAAGGTACAAGGATATTTTCCACGAAAACTTAAAGGGGATTAACATGCAGAATGAGTGGGAAGAAGCAGCTCACAATAGAACTCAATGGAGAAGAATTGTAAACTCAGTTAACAGCGGCAACCAAAAAGTAAAGAGGCAACAAAGCAATGAGATTTTTGAATGTCCGGTGTGCGGTAGGCAGATAACATCACGTATCGGGCTTTTCAGTCACAGAAAAGCTAATGAATGAAAACGCCTTCCGTGACCATCTTCTGATGCATGTCGAATACTCGTCAGCGATTAATGGCAGTATGTATGTATCTATTTTAGCCGTAGCATAAAATATATAAAAAGAGTCTTGTAAAAGACAAAAATTAATTTTACCTAATTTTTTATATAAAATTACTTGGAATATGTCACCTTTAAATACAAAGCAAAACTTTATAATAATAAGCGTATTAACATTAACAGATAGAAGATTTAATATAAATCCGCTCCCAAAAAGTCCCATTAAAAAAAAGTATTTCGCCACTATAAGAAAATCTAAAAAATAAAATAGTTATTTTTTTAAACACAGCTGCGTTAATCCAACGGAGACTAATTGTCAGCAGTGGTTTACTAATAAAGAAATTTGCCTAACGGACAAAAAAATGCTTAACCGTTTTGGGAAGTATATCTCTTCCTATCGTCGGAAGCAAAAAAAACACAAAGAACAACGTTCTTGAAGAACGTGAACGGTTTTTGTAGACGTATTTGTTTTAAAAAAGTAAAGTGTTCTCGAATAGTTGCCTTTAGATATTTTAAATAGTTTTTTTTGTTCTTTGTATTTTTTAGCTTCCGACGACGGGAAGAGATATATAAAAAACGGAACGTTAAGCATTTTTTTGACCGTTAAACAAATTTGTTTATTAGTAAACCACTGCTAAAAATTAGTGTTTACAAAAAATAACTATTTTATTTTGTACATTTTCTAACAGTGGCGAAATACCCATAGGAGAGATGAATCCACCACAGAGGTATAGACATTTTTTATAAAACCGCTATTTAGGAATACCTGTACATACCTGTTTACAAGACTTTTGATGCTGTCGGAATAAATGATCAAATATAGCACCGTATTCTTCATGTATCCGTTGCATTTCATTTATATGTTCTGCAACTTTTTCCATTCCTTTCAGAGCATCTATTTTAAATAAGTATGTTAAATTATAGTACAAATATAGATTTTTTTTTATTATTATATACACTTACCAACTAAGTGCTGATGCTCGTCGGTGTTTGAGTCAGTCAAGTTCCTAAGTTGTTGCAAGAGCAAGGGGTATTTCAATATTCTTTGAATTGGTTTAATTAAGTACGACTCTAAAGTTGAGGAATGCTGTTGCCTGGGATTTCTAGCAATTAAAAATTCTTGAAGTGCTTGATTTCCTTCGTCTAAAAATAGTTTAGTTTACAGTGCACTTCAATAATTTACTCATAAAAGGTATAGGCAAGGGACAGGCTGTACAGGGTTGGTCAAATTCGACGCTTTTATAGGGAGACACCCTTTTCTATAGGAAATAGACGAAAACCAATATCGGTATCTGGAGCTCAATTTTTATCAAAAATATTACGGTGAAAACCGCACATCCATATCTGTTACCGTTTATGAGGTACGGGGTGTTTTTCAAAAATGTGCATTTTTAACAAATCGCTGTAACTTTTTTTCTATGGAAAACATTGTATTTTTGTGAAAACATTTCCAAAGCACTTTTTTGCGTAGAATATAATGGTTTATGTATAATTTTTTAAAGTTAGTAATTTAAGAGTTATCAACAGAAAAATTGATTTTTTATTTGGGACACGTGTCTGTTTTTAATTAAATGAAAATAACTTTACAAAATAAAATTACCTTTCCAAAAATATAGCACACTTGATATTTTGTTATAGTCCTCTTCGAAATACAGAATTTTTATAAGTTCGCCACTTTTAACTAGTAGGCTTTGAACCCCTTACTGATGATCTGCCCCTAATGGAACTCGAAAACATATTTTTCCAGCAAGACGAGGCATCGCCTCAGAAAGCTGAAGTTATCAGTAAATTTTTGCAGCCAATTTCGGGAATAATTGAATAGCTAACCCAGATCTCAGCTTTGGCCGTCGAGGCAGCCGGACTTAGTGCCTCTTATCCTTAGTTGATTTTTTAACTTTGCGGAAGAATAAAGGTCCTTATTTTAAAATTGCCCGTATAATCTTAACAAGAATTAGAAGTACTTAGCGGTTATGCGAGGGTATCTTTCACCCTCACTGAGTTAATGAATTCCGCGTGAAATGTTCAAAAACGGTCCCGTCTGTCCATAATAGAAGACGGTTGACATGTCGAACGCCTGTAGCAAAATCTCATGTCTTGGTTTGCTATTAATTTTTTAATTGTTATTAGATATAGTTTAAATGTGTTGATGTTGTTAAATATAGTTTAAATTGTTATTAAATTCTGCATCTCTCATTGCAACTATTATTTTCATTTTAATTGCTGATCACAGCTAGAAATTTTTTGCATTACAGAAATTATTCAAAGTGGGTGAATTTTTAAAAACTCAATATCTTCAAGAGGAATCGAGCAAAATATCAACTATGCTATATTTTTGGAAAGGTAATTTTAAATCCTTTTCGACTAATTAGAAATATACAGGGTGTCCCATATAACAAATCAAACTTTCTATTGATAATTCTTAATTATTAATTTAAAAAAAAATTATACTGAAACTATTAAATTTTACGTAAAAAGGTGCTTTGGAAATATTTTTACAAAAAATACAAAATTTTCTATAGCAAAAAAGTTATAGCGATTTTTTAAAAATGCACATTTTTGAAAAACACCCCGTAACTTCGAAACCGTAACAGATATCGATGTGCGGTTTTCAACATCATGTTTTTGATAATATCTATATATATATATGATAAAAAATTGAGCTCCAGACACCGATATTAGTTTTCGTCTATCTCTTATAGAAAAGGGTGTTTCTCTTTAAAAGCGTCCAATTTGACCCACCCTGAACAATAACTAATTACTTACTTGGATGTAGTACTTTCTGAGCTTTACTATGACTGGCACAAAACGAACTGTAAAGCTTAAAGTGATTAACGTAGTACAAAAAGGCGCTTCCGATCGCAAATAATACATTCTGAAAAATATTAATTTGAGATATTGGAAAAATCGAATATAAAACAGAATTACTTTAAATTGGCCTGGGTATTCGTATTTGTGAAAATCGGGTTCGAGTTCAATAGCTTCTTCGAGGTTATGAAGAAACTGTCTTTGAAAGGCAACGATTTCCTGAATGTTCCCAAAAAGAGCATTAATCTCGGCACTAGATAGGAAAGTCTCTTTCTTCAAGGGTTCGAGATAGTTTTCTAATAAATTGTTTAAATGCTGAAAAATAGATTTTATTATTAACAGGTTTAAAGATAGACAAATCTTATAGAATACAATGCAAAAAAATATCTAATGAAAATAGTAGGTATATTTTTATTAAAAAAATAATAAAAATATACTTACTATTATTATAAACATGAACTAATTTTTAATCAATTATTCGCTTTGGTACATGGTGTAAATGAAGAACTAAAAAAGAAATCAGTGGTTTGCTTTTAATAACCAATAAATTTTGTAGAGGATTACAAGTTTTTAAAAAATGAAAACTCATTTTTGTTAACCAAATACACTCAGATGCAAAAAAAGCAATGAAGAAATTTTTGGCCAAATTTAAAGTGTTATATTTTTGATATTTTTAGCTCTATTTTCATGAATTTTTTAGCAAGCTGTATATTGTATATAATGAATGGGTTCCAGCTTCACTAAATAAATTTCGCTTGGTTCTTAAAGAAGAATAGGAAATTCCTATTCAGCCTGTCAGCCTCATTGACAGTATGAACGGACGTATACAGGCAGTTATAGCGGCCAAGGAAGGCAATACAGGTATTAGGGTATTTTTTACAATTTTTTTTTCAGTTTGTATACTTGAGTATTACAGATGTTTTCTTTAATATCCTTAGTACTGTTATTGTTACTAATGTTTATTAAAACCAGGACTGTATGGTTAGTCTTTAACGTTTTCCTTTATTTAGTATAAAATATCTATTGCAGCGTAATATGACGTTACGACAGTTACGTCATTAAAACCATCTCGTCACATTAAAAATCACATCAAAAAGAAATGTCGATAATTGAAAAAAGTGCAAATTGATCGCGATTAATACATTTCGCTCTTAAAAATTAACCAAAGCATGTATTGATATGAATTTTTTGAAACCAACACAATGCTCAGGAGTCATGGTCAATTTTATTTTAGAAAAATTTACACACGAAATTATTGCACAGGGTATTTTAAAGTTAAGGCAAAAACAACCCTTCGATTAACCCTGTATAATATGCCAACTAAAGTTTATAAAAAATGAGTTTACGAATTAAAATTGATATAATTATGTAGAGTTTGCTACGAAATTCATAGAAATAGAGCTAAAAGTAACAAAAATATAACACTTTAAATTTGACCAAAAATTCCTCCCTTCCATTTTTTTTGAATCTCAGTGTACTTTTAAATAGAGTAATGACAGCAAATTGTAAATTGTTACCTTAACGTATGCTTTCTCAGTATCGACGAGTTCTAAAATCACTTTTCTTAACTTTTCTCCGTCAGAGAGTTGTCTGGAAGGTGTCAAAATTACTTGCGAGGTATTGCTAACTATGCTTCCAGTCGGACTACTTTGTTTTCTACTTTCCACGGGCGATCGGCAAAATCCTGTTACCTGAAAATAAATCCATATTTTTAAACAAAATTACCCGAGTAAGATGGATAATGTTCTTCATACCTGTTCGGCGCTTTTTAATAAGTTTTCAATTTCAAACGAATTAGTTCTGGAGGACACTTTAATTCCGGAATCTGTCAGTGATGATTGATTTTCAGAATCCGTAGAATATCTATCTTTTCCTATAATTTAGAAAATAATAAATCAGTACAAGGTCCGATGGGTCATATGTATTATATATATATTAACTATGATTATTTATTTTTTCTCTATAAATATTCGTAATTATAACAAAATGTCTCTCATACTAATTAATTATGAATTATTTCTTTTAAATTTTAAAGTTAAATATATTTTTGTGTCAAAGACTGATATAATGACGAAGGAGTGATAATTTCATGAAAGCTAGCTAATATTAACAGTGTAATCTTGCTGGAATGACATACATAATTTAAACTATGGCGTTACTTTGAATGTGGTAGACACTGATTTAGTATTAAAACTAAAATAATTTCGGACAACCATTGTCTTTATTTATTTTGCTTACACAACGTTTGATAACACACTTGATAACGGTCAGAAGTATCACTGACCGTTACAAGCGTGAACTAATCTAAATCCAAAAACTACTGATATATTAGAGTCGAGCATTCACCCGTGAATTAGTTGGGTGTGGTTAAGCATGAGGTTTTTAGTAAGAATATCTACATTGGAGCGTTTTATAAGTGGTTGCCATATTGTTTAAATTTCCGTACTTGGATTGCTAAAGAATGGTTAGAAATGAATACGGCCTCTATAAGTTTGCGCTTTTTCCAATGGGGTTCTTTATGTACAACCCGGGCTTCCGACCATTTCATGTTGTGGTGCTTGGACCACAAAATTCTGCATAATTAATATTAATTATAATTAAACAACTATTATATTTAATTTTTTTTTTAAATATATTTATAACCAATTTCGTAACTTTTTTCTCTTCAATTGTTTTATTCAAACTGTCATATGATGTGATACTATACTGTTCTAAAACAATAATATGTTTTGGAATTGTATTGTAATTTTCATTATAACGATATTACAATGTTAAAATATCGAAGTGCCAAAATAGTATGCGTATATAATATTTTCAAATTTCTCAGAGACAATACACCATGATTTTTCTTTTAGATTATTTGTAATAATTGATGTCTACTGCAAATTTGTGACATGCTAGACATTACAGAATATAAATTTCATATAAAATAGTTAAAAAACTAGCATATTCAAATCTAGAAAGACCATTGAAATATATTGAAATTACATAAACATAAACACATATACAGGGTTCGGCAATAGTGCGTCGGGCATCTGTAGCTCCTAGTATAAAAAACTTGAGAATTTTGTTTAAGTGCAAACCTAAAGTATGTACCAGGTTGTATTTCAGGAAAATATTTTAACTTTTTAATGAAGGTTGAAAAATATATATTTTTTATTTATTTATTAATATCTCTAAAACTATTGAAATATATTTGTTCATATTTTAGGATTATGTAAAGTGATCTGAAAGGAAGCCAAAAATGCAATAATATAGAGGGTGTTCCATTTAAAAAAAAATCATCCCGATCCACTCACTTTTTTGAGCCACCCTATAGAAGTTAAAATATTTTCCTGAAATACATCCTTGTACATACTTTAAGGTTTACACTTAAACAAAATTCCCAAGTTTTTTATTCTAGAAGCTACAGTTGCCCGACGCACAATTGCCGGACCCTGTATAGAGAACAATTAATTAATTGGTCTCCAGTCGTGCCCAGATCATTCGGTCAATCAGTCATTCATATCACAAGAGTCACAAAAAACACTTCACCTCAGTTTATTCTCAGGCGGTATGTAGCTAGTTTTTTTATATAATTTACGTCTATTATGTAATATATTTAATATGTAATACAAATTAATATTATGTTTAATTAGATTGCTCTTAATATATAATTTTTACAGTTCGTTAAATTTGGGTTGCATTGCGAAATCCATTAAGAGGCTGTGAAAGTTGTAATATAATTTAGGGTTTATTCAAATTTGTAATAATACATTATTTATTCATTTTAATTAAAATATTTAATGAGATATTAGTTCTCTCCTTCAACCGTCATCATTTCATTATTAAACATATAATAATTAATAATAACACTGCTGTGAGTTTGAAACTAAAACTAACTTTAAATTAACAATTTAGGGATTTTCAGTGTTTTTATTTTGTTTTTATTTCTACTAAAAGTGTTAACTTACTTACTTTTGAACATGTTATATTATATTTTAACACTAGATTGCATGCAATTTCAGTTTAAAAGGGTAATGCATAATTCATTACTGTATGGTTGACATATTGTTTTTCCAAAACAATTACCTATTAGAGTTGAATTTAAATAACTTCTAGTTAATACTAAATAGTATACTTTTCAGTTAAAATATCATTCACGGCTTATTTTTATTTAGGGATATACTATATGATCGAAAAAACACTCCTTTCAAAACTCAGTTTTTTTTTATTTCAAACTCCAGAAATGCTAGTAATTTTACATAAAAAATTTAGGTGAGGTAACTCTTAGAACTTGGAGAATGTTTATAGATTTTTTTAGGGTTCCATACCCAAAGGGTAAAAACGGAAACCCTATTACTAAGACTTCGCTGTCCGTCCGTCCGTTCATCTTATGAACCGTTACAGCTAGACAGTTGAAATTTTTACAGATAATGTATCTATGTTGCCGCTATAAGAGCAAATACTAAAAACAGAATTAAATAAATTTTATAAATCAAAAAGTACTTTCACTAAACATTATCTTTTCAGTAAGAATTTTACATAGAATCTTTCAAGGCCTCGGTGGCCGCGTGGTTAAAGCGTTAGGACTTTACGCTGCTATGACGTTGGAGCCGTAGTAAGGCAGGTTCGAATCCTACTCAAGGCGGCTTTTTTTTAATCGTTTTTTTTTAATTTTTACATATTTTTACATATTTATTATTGATTAATACAATGTTTAGTAATGTTTCTTCATTTTTTTTAAATTACTTACGCGCATTCAAAATTTCAGCTAAATCGGAAAAAAAATTATCATAATATAATGGTTAATGTTGTATAGATAATGAATGGCATGGAACACTTCGTGCGCGAGTCCGACTCGAACTTGACCAATTTTTATAATAAGTAACATCTGTATAAACAAATAAATTGCAAGTAGTTTTTAAGTCAATGTTCTCAAAGTTAACGAAAAAATGTAGTGTCTGTTTCGTAAACAAAAGTAACAAATTAAGATAATAATAAAATGGTCACTTACCAGGTGCAGGAACAATTAGACCCGATATCATTTCTTCACTGATGGCTGGAGGTTCAGAAGGTGGAGGGGGACATACCAAACTTTCTATAATATCGTCTGTAGCTCTTAAAATTCCAGCCATATCGGGTGGTTCTGTTCGCGATGAGCGCATCATCATGCATAATGATAGCTCTTCCTGTAGGACGCTCTCCAAATACATCATATCTAGATCTGATACGATAGCTCCATTGATAACCATGATTTCGTCTCCTTTAATTATACCTAAAGTTATAAGTACATTTTATAGCGCACGAGAAAGTGGTAGTAGTATGAGACAGAGGTACCAGAAAATATAAGGCCTTTTTTGTCGTATTTTAATATCTAATTTAGATAATAATCTGAATATTGTAAGTGAAGGATTTGGAAATTTCTACGTTTAAAAAAAGCGCCAACATTTTTTAGAACCGGAAATAATTAAAAAGAGACAGGTAAATATACGACTTCTGAAGGCACGTGTTGCCATTCTTTTCTGACTAACTTCACTTTACTTATAATCCCTTGAAATTTACTTCGATTCCTTCTTAGACAAAGAAAGAGAGGGGATGCGTAATAAACATTTACGGCCAATATCAAATTTTGTGATTTGTCTGGCTCCTAAAAATTGAGTATTTTTAGCCGACTATACCAATAGGTATGGTAGGCTATTAAAAGATCGGCAAAAAAAAGTTTTATTAATTTCACTTAAAATGAGTTATTTGGGTCATAAATGACCTAAATAAAAAAATAAAAAATATTTTCATGGTGTCTGTCTGTCTATCTGTCCGTCTGTAACACGATAACTCAAAAACCGCTAAATCCATTTTAACCAAATTTGGTACAAAAATACTGTGGCACCCGAGAATCTGGTCATTAGCTTTTGGTGGGGCTGGGGGGTTGGTAAGGGGGTATGGGAGGGGGTAAAAATTTTAAAAAATCGTAACTCCAAAATTACAGTAGCTAGCGAAACGCGGTTTTCAATTTAAGATTAGGAATAATATTTGCAACAAAATTTTTAATAACATCAAAATCATTCAAAGTCGCAGTTTTTGAGATAAAAAAAGTTGGAAAAATTCCTTTACTTTGAAACTAAAAGAACTGTCTACCAACTTTTTATTAACATATTTTAGTATGGGCGGCTATGCGTGCCTCCCGGCGCCAATTTTTTGTAATTAGTGCCATAAAAAGCTTTTTAAAGACTTGAAATTATTATTATTTAAATATGGTGTTTTGTTGTGCTTAGAACTATACGGAACTATTCTCAAACGGCCTTGGCGTGGAACCTAGCCGGGAGCGATTTTCCAGTCACAAAATTTCTGCTGGTATTACCGGTCACCCCTCTTTCCTTGTCTAAGGATTCCTTATTGTTTACTACCACCATTGTGGTTATTTAGTGAACCATTATATTTCCCTTTAGGTGACCACTTTTTCAAGCAAAGTCCCATAAAAGATGTTTTCCTTACCCTCTACCCTCTATTATTATACCGGGTGCGTCTTCAGTAAAAAAACGAGATTTACTATGTTAGCATATTCATATATATGACATATGATAAATTAGAATTATTGATTGACGCATTCAATAATTAATTGTTTTCGGTCACTTCCTGTTTCACCGGATGTTACTATAACTTTTGCTTTTTTTGCTTATTTTTTTATTTTAAATTTCAATCTAGAGTGCAATGGCTGTGTTAAAAATACTAATTTTATTTAAGGAGCCTTGGAAAAATAGATTTGATCGTCTAATGTTTTTCGTTTGATCGTCTAATGTATTTTTAATCACAACTCAAATTTTTCAAAAGAAACAAGGGTGGCTCATTAGCATATTTGGAAAAAGCATTTTTTTACGAAAATTTGGTACCACATACTTGGTATTTCGATATCTGATAAAATAAAAAAGTTATAGAGGTGAGTTACTTTTGAGAGTCGTCCGGTTATGTTATATTATCCAGTATATTGAATGTTTAAACCGGAAATACAATGAAATAGGAAATATTTTAAAAATACACAAGGTAAAAAAAATCGGTTCGGTACATATACAGGGTGTCCCATTTTCGTGTGTTTTATGGGGTTTTTCGTTTATGGATAGAGATTCAAAGATGCGGTTTTCACATCACTGTGCTACTTTCTTTTACTAAAGGTGCTACACACAGATTTGTCATGGTGAAATTGAAAATTTTGCATTTTTGAAATGACGAAAACTGGTTTCATAAAAAAACAAGCATAGTTATATGAAAACTGCATCTTTGTATCTCTACTCATCAACGAGAAACTCCATAAAACACAGGAAAATGGGATGCTCTGTACACCTTGAAATATCATTACCCTAAAACATTCCGATCTAAATTCGACCCTTATTTTTTTCTCACGATTTTTTTATAACCCCCATATAATACATGTGACTGTGTGATGTATTGTTGTTTCGATCAAAAGTCGTGATATATAACGGTACAAAAGATATCTTTCCATTTCAGCTTTTATTCCGTGGATTTCTCTTCTATTTGCTAGTCGAAGAGAACTTTTCAAAGTATAAAGTAAGAAGTTACTTTGCGGCCAAGAGCTGTATTGTTTAGTGGCTCTATACTTCTTTTTATGTAACGAACACAATCGGAAAACACCTTTTTCACTTATAATGGCCCCGTGTGTGAAAACTTTTAAAGTAAAACGTCGAAAATAGTATCACGTTCTACGAAGGTAAAGTGGCAAAGACAAGTATTTGCTCTATTAAACTTATTTATTTTGCTATTTGATTTGGATTAATGTTATTAAAGAAAACTAGTTGATAATTGCATAGCACCAAAAATCATAACAAATTAAATCTCTTTGTGATCTATAATAATAAGTAATATTCAGTAATAATACCAAATTGATAAAACCTAAACTTTAATTTCAAGTAATTATATTGTAATTACTTTTAATAGATAGTTACTTCTAACCTACTGCTTTTATAGGTGTGCTAGGGTACTGTATGTCCCCGGATTGTCTTTACAAGATGGAAAACTTTATTATTATTGACATTTTGAGGAAAATACATTCTTTATAAAATTTTTTGTTTGTTCTAACATGGTTTAACCCCGTTTATACTTTTCCAAATTTCCATACCATTTTAGAGAAAATTTAAAAAACATGAAAATGTACCTAGTTGAAATTTGTTTGTAAAGTTTTAAAAATTAAAAAGGCGTATCTATGGTAATATAATTTCTTTTTCATCCAGTGATAGATTATTATCGACAGAATTTTAATTAAGGTCATATTCACAAGTCATATTTTTTGTAAAGTATATTACTAAAATGTAAGGTTTTTTTCTGGTAGGTTTTTTGGCTTGAGGGCGGGGTCTAACCAAAAAAAATGTAAGATTTTTGACATTTTTAACATTTTCAAAAAATGAAGAACAAATTTTGAATTCAATAAAGCTATCTAAATTGGAATTTGCCCGGGGTATACCGTTATAAGTTAGTCTATAGGCTAACTTGTAGTTAAAATAATCTAACTTAAAATTACATTAAAACTTGAACTTTCTGGATTACTCTATTTAGGAATTTCTGAAAAATTAAACATATCGGAGTAATAATTGTAAGGGGCTGAAAATGAAACCCTCTATATTTATTTATGTGTTTACACAAACTTTTTTTGATTTTTTAAATGTTACAAAGAGTAGAGTATTAAATTAATATTCTATACAAAATAATATAATTAAATTTTTTACAACACATTTTTTATTTTTTAAAGCCAATTTAAGTACACTCTGTATACATAATTCAATTTTCTGAATTCAAAATATCACTTACTTATTTAGAAAATCACATTTAATAAAAATAATTTTAAAAAATGTAAGTAAGTTCAGGAATTATTTTTTGCATCTCTGTGCTACGGTTCAGCCAGGAAATTGAATCCAAATCAGGAATGAGACTCCTCCTTCGGAGTCATAGTGTTGCCGGGTAACGCATTTCGTGTCAGGTAAAAGTATTTTTCGGTAATCCCGAAACATCTTACATTCAAAAATGAGCCCTTCATATGGATGGCCAAACATAAAGAACATAGAAATCGTATTGCAGTGTACAGGGTTGGTCAAATTCGACGCTTTTAAATGGAAACACCCTTTTCTATAGGAGATAGACAAAAACTAATATTGGTGTCTGGAGCTCAATTTTTGTCAAAAACATGATGGTGAAAACCGCATATCGATATATATTACCGTTTCGGAGTTACGGGGTGTTTTTCAAAAATGTGCATTTTTAACAAATCTCTGTAACTTTTTTGCTATAGAAAATTTTGTATTTTTATGAAAACATTTCGAAGCACTTTTTAAGTAGAATTTATTGGTTTAAGTATAATCTTTTTAAATTAATAATTTAAGAATTATCAACAGAAAATTTTATTTTTATATGGGACATCCTGTTGGCTTTTTAATTTATTGAAAATAATTTAAAATTATCTTTCCAAAAATATAACACACTAGATATTTTGCTCCATTCCTTTTCGAGATATAGAGTATATAAAAATTCGCCCGCTGTAAATAAGTAGGCTTTGAACGGCACCGGCTGTAATGCAAAAAATTCTAGCTGTGAGCATCAATTAAAACGAAAATAATATTTGTTATGAGAGATGCAGAATTTTATAACAATTTAAACTATATTTAACCAACATCACAACACATTTACACTATATCTAATAACAATAAAAATAAATAGCAAACCAAGACATAAAATTTTGATACAGGTGTTCGACATATCGACCGTCTTCTGTTATGGACAGACGGGGCATTTTGAACATTAAATGGGAATTCTGTAACTCAGTAGGGGAGAAAGGGGCGCCCTCTCTTAACTACTAAGTATTACTAATTTTGTCTAGATTATACGAAAGAATAAGGAACCCTTTATTCTTCGGCAAATATATCCATAGGATTAGATCCATGGACACTAAGTCAGGCGGCCTCGACGGCCAACGGCTGGGATCTTGGTTAGCTATTCAATTATTCTTGAAATTGGCTGCAACAAAAGGGCATATCATCAATAAGGGGTCCAAAGCCTACTAGTTAAAAGTGGCGAACTTTTAAAAATTCAGTATTTCGAAAGGGAATATAACAAAATATTAAGTGTGCTATATTTTTGGAAAGGTAATTTTAAATTCTTTTCAGCTAATGAAAAATATAGAGGGTGTCCCAAATAAAAAATCAATTTTTCTGTTGATAACTCTTAAATTATTAATTTAAAAAAATTATACTTAAACCATTAAATTCTACGGAAAAGGTGCTTTGGAAATGTTCTTATAGAAATACAAAATTTTCTATATCAAGAAAGTTACAGCGATTTGTTAAAAATGCACATTTCTGAAAAACACCCCGTAACTCCGAAGCGGTAACAGATATTGATGTGCGGTTTTCACCATCATGTTTTTGATGAAAATTGAGCTCCAGACACCGATATTAGTTTTCGTCTATCTCCTATAGAAAAGGGTGTTTCCATTTAAAAGCGTCGAATTTGACCCACCCTGTACAGTAAAAGAATTTAAAAAGAAAAAAGAATCACTAGCAACAGCAACGACAATTTCGGGACGACCGATATCCATCGATGCTACTATACTGTTTACTTGCCAAAGATTTAAACAATGTTTGTGCTGGCGTACTTGTTGAAATGGACACGTCGCGTCGTGTGAGCGCCACACTTGCCGATGTTGTTTACAAAGTGGGGACTGGTGGGGATACTTGCCAAGTATGCAAATATTGGCGTACTTGCCAAGTAGACGAGTCGCGAGAATGCGCCTTTAGTTAAATATAGGACATATTAAAAAAAATCATAATATTTACCATTTTGCATTGCGACGCTTTTATCTTCCACCCTGCTGACGTAACAGCAGAGTTCGTCTTGACGATCCGCGTTCTCCACTAATTCCGCCTCTACGCTGAAGCCCCACATTTGCTCCAAAGTACTACGAGATAATTCGACTTGGTATAGAATTTTAGCGCAAACTTCAACAACTTCGTGCGTATGCAGCTAAAACAAAAACAATACGAAAATTGAGGTCGGAGTTTAATTTCTTATTTTCAAATGATAAAGTCAAAACATGCGATTTATAAATGATAATTGAGTGTGATAATGAAAACTTTGTTTGACTTTGAATTGTGTATGCAGCTAAAACAAAAACAATATGACATTTCAGATGGAAGTTTAATTTCCTATTTTAGGCTAGTAAATTTACACATAAAAGGTTTACAAATTATAACTGGATGTGTTTATAACGATTTTACCTCAATCTTTGCCTTTGTAAGAGGAGTTGTGTTGAACTGAATAAAAAGGCTGATCTATATGTACAGGGTGGGCCACTGAAAACTTACAATGGCTATATTTTTTAAACCAAAAATGATATAAAAAAATACAGTTTCTATAATATCGATGGGCAATATGACGTATTATTTTTTGAACCACCCCGACCTACCCCTTAAGCGGCACCCTTACTCACTTAATAATCTTAAATGGCAACAATCCCACTTGTGGCGCCTTTTTGGAAAGCCCATGAAAAATGCTAAACGATGATTATAAAGTTTTTAGGGTGAAATTGAAAAACTACCCCTTACACGAAAAATTAGGTGTACATTAATGAAAAAAAGTGATTTTTTCAGCATAAGTTACAAATTAGGACCCAGCTAAATGAGGCAAATGAGGTATTTTTCAAACTACCCCGACCCACACCTAGGTGCCACCCCATCATTTCTAATTTCAAGATAGCGATACCCCACTTTTGACACTTCTTTTGGAAAGCTAATTGAAATGGCTAAACGATGGTCATACAGACTTCAACTTAATTACTGGTAAGTAGTGATAAGAAATGTAGGTGTGACAATTTTTGTTAAAGAAATTTAAAATGATAATTTATTTTAACAATTGCTCAAAATAACAGCCGTTTTGTTCCATACAAAAATACAAACGATTTTCAAATTCTTCTCTCACTTTTTGGAACGTCTCTCTCGGAATATTTCGACATGCTTCAGTTATCCTCTGCCGCAAATCTTGCAACAGACCTGGTTTTGTCTTGTAGACTATGGATTTAGCATAACCCCACAAGAAAAAGTCTAAAGGAGTGAGATCAGGTGACCTTGGCGGCCACTCGATTTTACCCCTTCTGCCAATCCATTACCTTGGATAATATCTATCCAACCACCACCTTGTGACAATAGAATAATGCGGAGGGGCTCCATCGTTCTGAAAGTGTACGAGGTCTTCATTAAGAGTTAAATTTCTTTCCAAATCTCTTTCATTTTCGACCTCATGGCTGGCTTTATCAAATTGTTCAGCATTTCCACATAAGTATCACAAGTCCGTCCAAAATTTCCGTCGATGAAAAATGGACCTATAATTTTATCGCCTAGTATTCCGCACCAAACATTGAGCTTTTGGGGATGTTGGGTGTGTCCTTCAACAACAATATGCGGATTCTCATCGCTCCAGTATCTGCAGTTCTGCTTATTCACATTTCCGTTTAAAAAAATTAGCACTAATCACTAAAACAAATATTTTTAGGGAGTGAAGGTTCCCTTCGAATGTCCTCCGTCATTAGTTCATAGAACTGAATCCTTCTATTTGGATCGTCGTCGCCAAGTTCCTGCAGTATCTTCATTTTGTAGGGATGGAATTTGTGCTTTTTTAATACACTTCTGACAGATGTTCGAGGTATATCTGTGATTGATGCCAACTGGCGTGTTGATGCTTCTGGATTGGCCGATACCTGACCAATAACTTCCATCTGTATTTCTTCATTTAGTACCCTCGGCCCAGTCCTTTTTTTATTTTTGACCGATCCAGTTTCTTGAAACTTTAGAATCAAATCTATAACATAAACGTGACTTACGTTTTTGTCCGGATTTTCTTTCATTGAAAGCACGGGCCGTTCTCAAATAGCACATACCTTCAGCACCATAAAGAAAAACTATTTTTAAAATACCACCAAATTTGCAAACGATTGAAAATCGATAGAAGACAGTGCAAAAACGCAAAGATATGCCATTTTAAGATTCCTGTTTGTTGAAAGTAAAAAAATAGATGATAAGGAAGAATTTGCTTTATCGCAAAATTAGGCTGAATGATTAGTAAAACATCTTTGTGTTGCCTTTTTTATTATCTACATTTTTTTATTTTTAGCTTCAAAATGGCAATTGTTTCAAATGGTATTGATGAGATTAGAAGTGAGGGGGTGGAACCTAGGGGTGGGTTGGGGTGGTTTGAAAAATATCTCATTTGTCTCATTTAGCTGGGTCCCAATTTGTAACTTATGCTGAAAAAATCACTTTTTTCATTAATGCCCACCTAATTTTTCGTGTAAAGGGTAGTTTTTCAATTTCGCCCTAAAAACTTTATGATCATCGTTTAGCATTTTTCATGGGCTTTTCAAAAACGCGCCACAAAGATTTTCAAGTGAGTAGGGATGCCGCCTAAGGGGTAGGTCGGAGTGCTTCAAAAAATACGTCATATGGATTCCCACTCGATATTATAGAAACGGTATTTTTTACTTTTTTGATATCTTTTTTGGTTTAAAAATTATAGCCATTGTAAGTTTTCAGTGGCTTACCCTGTATTTAATACTGATGGAATAGTACAAAATGTGCTCAGGGGCGGATACAGGATTCGGGAAAGGAGGGGGCTAAATTCAAAACTTTGCTCAAAGTACATTCTCCAGAATCGTTTGTGACAAAATAAATTAATAATATAGTATGACTTGACTGAATCCAAGGGGCGGGGGGGGCTTGAGCCACCTAGCCCACCCCGTGGATACGCCACTGAATGCGCTCATATTCTTAGGATTCTATAAGATTATTTAGTTTGGAATTCATTCGAAAAAAGGTCCAAGAATAATTTTTGATTAAAAAAATAAATCTATTATTATTGAGAGGCTCTTGCTTTTATAAAGCTTAATAAATATATCTATTGCTTCTTTAATTATTTATAACTCAAACATGATCCATATTGTTAAAAATATAAAATATAGCAACAGGTTATACCTATATAATATAAAATATTTCACATTTTTGGGTAACTGATGCGTCAGTTTAATTAAACTTTTTTCACAGTCTACTCATTCATCAACTAGTCGACTAAGAGCCTCCACAAACGCTCAGTTGTTTAAGAGCGTCCACACATGGGGATGGCCTTCGAAGCGGTAGTGTCTCGAACTCGTAGCAAATCTCCCCCCACTCGGTAAATATTAGTACCAATCACTTCAACTCCGAATTCACTATTATTTTTTTAATTTGCTGTACAGTGTGTCCCATTTTGGTTGAAATCATACGGTATCTCCGTTATTAGTGAAGATAGAAGGGTGCGGTTTGCACAAACCTGTCCCACTTTTTTGTCAAACGGACGATGCTGTAAACAAAATTTTCATAGCCGAGCTACAGGATCATTTTTGAAAATTTTGCTAGTTGGGACACCCCCTGTATCGCTGTTATTGTTAAAGCTTTCGAGAAGGTGAAAACTGTTTATTGTAGAACTTTTTACGTAGAATACAGTGGCGTAGTCTGTTTTTCTACCAAACAAATATTTCTGAAAATATGAACTAAAGTTATGTTTCTTCAAATGGAACACACTATATATTTATAAATCATATGATCTGTCTTGCCATAAGCTTCTCAAAAATATATATCACTCTATATTTATTTTCACTATTTACTGCAATATTTAAAAGTTTTTATTAAAAGATCATATTTATTAGAAGGCCATGATTGATAATAAAAGAAACTATAGAATTATTAAAAGTATACAGCTATCTGTCTCTTGTTTTATTTTGGGAGCCGCTAATAAATTCTTTATATATTAGGGAAACTTTAACTCTCTACCGCTAGTTGCAAAACCTGGAATACCTATATACGTACGAATAATCTATCGTATCGGAAATTTTAGATATTCTTTTAGCTAATTTACGTGAAATATACTTTCAGCAAGATGGGGAACAGTTCCCCTCATAACTATGAAAATATTAGAATTTTGTTAAATTATTATTTTTCAAATTAATGAATTGGAACCAATGAAAGCCTCCCCGATTCCCGGATTTCGCCGTTCTCGATTTCTGATTTTGGGGATTTTTGAAATACGAAATATATCGTGGGCACTGCAACAATGTCGAATACCTGAAAAATGCTTTAATAATTCAAGCTTTTAGATATTTGCAAACCCATCCCGTTATAAAAAAAAGAAAAATATATTCACAGATTCAGTGGTAACAGTTATTTCAAAAGTAAAATATAACAATCCCAAATAAAGGTTTAATATGTCATGTGTATGACTATTTTACTAAATACCATTTTGATTTTCTGTTATTTATCACGGCCTATTAATAAGAAAATGATATATTTTAAATATTGCAGTAAATAGTGAAAATAAATATAGAGTGGTATATATTTTTGAGAAGCTCATAGCAAGACAGATCATATGATTTCATGTTTCATTTGAAAAAACAAACTTTAGTTCATATTTTCAAAAATATTTTTTTGGTAGAAAAACAGACTACGCCACTGTATTCTACGTAAAAAGTTCTACAATAAGCAGTTTTCGCCTTCTATGTTATTATTATTATATTATTATTAACAATAACAGAGATACAGGGGGTGTCCCAAATTGCAAAATTTTCGAAAAGACCCTGTCGCTCAGGAACGAAGAGGGCTATGAAAATTTTGTTTGCAGCATCGTCCGTTTGACAAAAAAGTGGGACAGGTTTGTGCAAACCGCACCCTTCTATCTTCACTAATAACGGAGATACCCTATGATTACAACCAAAATGGGACACACTGTACAAGGTGGGTCAAATTCGACGCTTTTAAATGGAAACACCCTTTTCTATAGGAGATTTCTATAGACGAAAACTAATATCGGTGTCTGGAGCTCAATTTTCATCAAAAACATGATGGTGAAAACCGCACATCAATATCTGTTACCGTCTCGGAGTTACGTGGTGTCTTTCAAAAATGTGCGTTTTTAACAAATCGTTGTATCTTTTTTGCTATGGA